CCCCCTCTCTGTCCCATCCGTCTCTGCCCCCCGGCCTCCCAATTCCCATTGCGCTGGCTGATTGAGATGGGCTGGGGCGCCTATCTGCTGCCCGAATCTCCTCTTCCCCGAGCTGTCTCACCTGATTACCGCAGTCTGGACGGTTGGGGGGATGCTGTCGTCTAGATCGAGTGTCTATGTTGTTGATTGAAATATCTTGCATGGCCCATCGGGAGCCTGCTGTTCCCGCAGCAATTGGGTGCGTGGATCCGTGTACCTGGTGTCCTGACTGTAGGTCATGGACCTGGCTCCAGACACATCAAAAATGTTGTGCGCAGTGGGGCGAGAGTGTATGACGATTAGACAGAAATTGTTCAGAGAGGTCGTGAGTTCAAGTCAAGACTGCCAGGAATGAGGCAAATATGTCCCCAGCTTCATGTAGCGCTGGGACACGAAATGTGGAAGAGTGCTCCTAGGATGAGACGAGGATCCTGTCAGCGCAAAGCAGTAATAGTGAGGATGGAGGTCTGTGAAACGAGGGGGCCAGGGGAAAAACAATGAACATGAGAAGACTACCATCTTCTCGCCCCCCTCTCCTAGCAGGCTACGGCAATACAACACACAGTCATTATAGCTATATTTGGGGCGACTCTGACTGTAGATACACGGGATAATGACCATACGTTCTATTTGGGGGAAGATGGCAGCTTACCAATGTCTCAAATATGATGACGGAACCTAGGACCGAAGGCCTACCACTCACTGGTGCTGGGAAATTTCACTTGTTCATTCCTGTCACGTCTCTCTCTAACACGCGCGCTTGGGCATGATGATGTGTCTGCAGGTGCTGTGGCTCCAACATGTAAAAGCGGCAGTAGCAGCAAAGCAGTGCTTTTCTTTCTCTTTTTCTGTAGTCTTGTGTTCTTGTTTTCTTTTTTGTTCCTTTGAAGAAGCTTTCCTTTCTTCTCTCTTTTTAATTTTTATTTTTTTGTTTCCTTTGGGGATTCTGAATCCTTATGATGATGCTTTTCATTCCAATTCTCAGTGAGCTGAAGGGGAATTGTTTCTATGTCTCTTCTCTCTCAGTTGCCGAAGACGATAAGCAACCGCCGGCGAAGACTGCAAAGATCGAGATACCGATGTCAGCCTCAACCCTGAGTGCAGCGCTTCCAGCCGCACCTGGTATGACCTCGCAATCAATGTTTGCTGCAGTGCCTCCAGTGTAAGTATCCCTGTGCCCTATTTCTTTCTGATGCTCTGCGCTCTGTGTTGTGTGGTGTCTGCCTTCCCAGGTCTATATGGAACTATATACCCTCTTAAAAGGTGCGTTAAGTGACATCAATTTTTTGTCCTGTTCTTGCACTTGCTGCTGCAGGAGTCTGTTGTCTACGCGGCCTCTCTGTTGGAGACCGTTCATATTAGGGCTCGCCTCAGATGACTCTTGATCTGTGTTGGGGGGCATCCTCTGCGGGGTGGCAAAAACAAAAGTCAGTCATGGTCATCTTCCCCCCAGCCCCCTGGCCATTTTCCCTCTGCCCCCTCTCTCTCCCCTTCCCCCGGCATAGAGGTATGTGAAATGTCACAAGGTCCTTGCTTGTATGTAAAAGGCCCAGGCACCACTGGCTGATAGTGTGTGCTGGTTTCCCAATTGGAACTTCATAAGGTTCAACCAGCAAGTGGAGCGTCCGCCTTAAACTGGAAATGAAGGCAGTGGTCTTCTGACCTTTAAGGGTTGGACTTTTATGGGTATGAAGTCCCAATCCCATCATGAGATCTATGCCTACAACCCTGAACCGGGCTTTCAGCCTTGAGCTGCGCCTATCACCCTGAACAGTGCACCAAAGCAGCTGATGTATTTTGTACCCGTAGGGTGTTAGGATTGCTAGGGTGTTGGTTTTGCAGTCCATGCCTTCCCCCTTGTCCATTCCCGAAGGGCCTGTCCCCACTGGATTGCGTCTTGGTCTTTGGAGAGAAATCTGATGGAGCGTTTGGATGACGAAACGCAAGTCCTGATATCGGGTGTCGGATTCGGAAACGTAGACTTGGACATAGCGCAGTGGGCCTGCAAAAGGATTTCAGATCATACTGGGCGCTTGCCTGTGACCAGGAAAAGAAAGGAAGAGAAGGAAAAGAACGAGTTGGATGATGTTGTGTAGAATCTTCTTGCCGTGTTTTATTTAAATATATATTTGCCCTCTCTCTTGTGCTTCTTTTTCATTTTTCCAATTGTTGTTCTGTGAGTTGTTTACTTTTCTTTTGTTCCGCTCCTCCCCTCCCCTCCCTCTGCCGCCCAAGTTTGTGTAGGAACGGACAAATGTAATCTCATCTGCTGTTCCTGGTTAAGGTGAGGGCTGTGCTCTTTGCCTTTTCCAAGAGCAGAACATGCTATTAATGGAGCTGTGCTTTTTGCCTTAAGAAAACGGAGAATGCTCGTGGAATATTTCCAGCTGACCTTAGTTGCATATTATTATTATATAGTAAACTCGTGTATGCTTCCCTGGTATCGAATTTGGTCGGGCTGCCCTTGTTTTATTGGGAACATATCCATGATGGTTTCTTTCGGGCTGAGGCTTGGGTTAGAGTTTGCCCCGTGTGCAAAATGGAGTTGTAAGAAACTGGATGAGATGCTCTGTCTGTGATTGCTTTATGTTCGTCTTCTGCTTGGCGGAGCTTTTCAGGTTTTTCCAATTGTTTATGTGACTTGAATTATGGATAAGGTGCCATGCTGTGAAATCCGACGGGCGTACCAGTAGGAGCAACTTTAAACCTTTATACCTGTTGTGCCTTTTTTTACTTGCATACGGTAAAATTTACGTCAGGAAGAAAAAGCTAGAGAGCCCCTTCGGGGAGCCCTCGGCGCCCTCTGGACTTGCTTTACACATCTGCTGTTGGTTTTGTCAGGTGGATTGAATGTATGCTTTTGTCTAGCCTGGATGGATGTGGGTAGGCTTGTCTGATAATCCCTTGAGACATAGATCGACTCGCTTAGGACACTGGCAGAAGGAGGCCGTATCTGGTGAGCTGGAAGCTGCGTTGTTCACGTGCAATTGCACAATGATTTGAGTGACATGACCGAGAAACGAAAGCTCCCTTTGGGTGATGCTTACGTATCCATGCATTAATGCAGCGGACACTTAACTTAGAGCTTTTGCTCTTGGAACGACAAGGCTTCTTGTCATGAGTTCTGAAAGGATTTGTAGCGATTGAACATAGCCACAACTCGGTAGAGATTTGTGGGCTTTCTGGAAGTGCAGTGTCCAGGAGCCAGGCCTCAGTAGATTGGGATCTTCTTGTTCATCGATGATGGATCGAGTGTTTAGTGGGGTGGCAATGCATTGCCAAACCGGATTGACCCAGCAAGTGGCCTGTGTGGTGCAAGGTAATCTGGTAGTTCACTCTTCGAGTTGTGATTCAGCTTGGGATGTTTAGTCTCTTCTACACAGGTCGATCCAGGGAAATAGAAACATGAAATTGTAGTCAGCTCAGCCTTTCTAAGGCATGCTGGAACTGCCCTTTCCCTCTCCCAGTTGTTCTGGAGCAGAACTTGGCTATGTTTATCTGCTTTTTACACTCGATGTTGTGTGCAATTGAACTCTCTCTCTCTCTCTCTCACTCTCTGTCACTTTCTCTCTCTCTCCCACTCTCACTCTTTCCCACTCTCACTCTCTCTCACTCTCTCTCACTCCCTCTCTCTCTCGCTCTTACATTCTCTCTCTCTGTCTCTCTTGCACTAACTCTTTGGGTTCTGCTTTCAGCCTCGAAAGTTGCTACTAGCTGAGTATTTTTCTATCCTAAGTTAGGACAGGTTGGTGGTCAGTCATGGGCGGTGATGTTTGTCAGTTTGCTTCCTTGTTGAACCCAAGCAGGAAGAATTGACATGCCAGCTTGCCACACATACATTTGGTTTAAGAGCATGGAAGCAGCCACAATCAGGACTAAATCTTGTTCAATACTGAGGTCACTGTGCTGTAAGATCATGCGGCGAGCAATGTAGGTTCTGTGGTACTTGTGTGCTACTTTGTGTGTAAGTTTTGAGGAATTGATGCTGTGGGATCATTACATAGCCCTCCAGAATGAAATGGAAAAGAGAAAGCTTGTTGCTTTGGATGTGGTCCATACTACGGAGTCAAATCGGAAACAGGGAATCAGAACAGTAGCCCGGCTAGCTGCGAGTGCCTTTAGATAGCTTAGACTGTGTACACTGTACGTTGATAAGAATTCCAAGGAACTGGTCCATAATTTTGACAGATGGACTCGGCATTGAATAGATCTGTTGATGGCTCTGGGAAACCGTACTGTCGTTCTCTGGTCACTTTCTGTGCGGCATGTTTTACTTGGGATGGCTGGGCAGCTCATAGAGTCTCTTATGGATCATCATGAATGCTTTTGTTAAACATGCTCCAGTGGACAAGTGTACCGAGAGGTTATTTCTTGAGATGTGAGTGAATTTCATGCTGACATTTCTCTAATAGGGAAACTGTTCTGGTTGAGATTTCTTGTGGTGTGTGTGTGTGTGTGTGTGTGTGTGTGTGTGTGTGTGTG